AAATCCGGCTGAGCCAACCCAATACATCAAGTCAGTTCAACGCTTGATAGTCTTCTGTGAAAGGTATGCGAGGCAGGCCACAGGAGGCCTCTGGGTAAGGTGTCTCCCGGGTGAGAAAATCCCAAGAAACTCTCTTGCTTCTGTGTACCTATCAACTGAGTGCATTTTGAGCTATTCTGAGCTTCATTCAAAATACTAATTGATTTGTTGATGATAGCATGGAGCAAGCGTGTCTGGAGCGTTATTCAGCTGTCAAAATATGGTATTGCTGATGGGAATTCTTTTTCTATCCCTGTGCAAAATGATGAGCTCCAGTCTAGTATCTTGTTAGTTTTCTCACTGCATTGCTAATGTTGACTTTTTGGGGGGAGTTCAGCATTTCTGATGTCTTACTCTTTGGGATGTTCCAGAATCCTATATCCTTTCTTTTTTTTTTTATTTAAAGGAAAGAGAGGTAAATGGAGAAATGATTGACTTCTTGTCCTTGCAGTTTTTCTGAATAAAATGTTCTCTCTTGTTGTCTTGAAATCATTTTGTTGCTTACACTTGATCATCATTTTTTTCATTTAGTGATGATAAGGTAGTAGAAGAACAAGCAGAAGAAGATGAGGAGCTAACTGTTGTGGAAGGTGAAGATGCTGATGACGACGATGATGATGGTGATGAAATTGAAGAAGAGACAGAGGAAGAATATGAGGAGGCAACTGAAAGAACTACTAGTATTGCAACTACTACCACCACAACTACAGAGTCTGTGGAAGAGGTTGTCCGAGGTAAATTCATGGGCATTTAGCCTGAGGCTGGAAAACTGATCCTGCTGCTTTGCATGTTTGCCTTTTACGACAAAAATGTTCCAAACAGCAAAATATCCTAAGTTGCAGCATTTTTATGTTTTGGTTTCTGTAATTTGCACGTTGAATGCCCTCACCTTTCGCTTTCCCATTACAAATCATCTTTGGAGGTGTCTGTCTACAAAGTGTGGTTGTTGTGTATGATGTAGATGGAAGCAGAAGGGTTGATTTTATGTTGAAGTAACATTAAATAAAATTTGACTGCCACGTGCAGCAGATAACACTGGAGAAGTATGTGTGTGGGTTATCGGGTGCATGTGCTGCAGAAGTATAGGAAGTGTCAATTCAAAGCAGGAGGTAGCACTAGCTGGTTTAGTCTTTTATATTATTAATTAATGTAATGTATTAGCAGTGATTAGTCATTTTGTGTGATTTCTAATGGATACCTGTTTCCAGTATTTCTTCCTGAACTAGTCGTTTGGTAAAATTTTGTGAATTTATAAATAACGATGGAGAAAAGTGAGCCTAACTAATGAGTTGTACTGAGGAGGAGGGCCGTGTAGGAGGACATAGGAATGCCTTGCCTGAAAACCAAAACATGAAGTGAGAAAGAACGCTTGATCTCTAAAATTTGGGTTTAATTATGTTTTGTAGTTATTAACATAACTGCATTTTACACTTTGAATTTTACCCTAGTCTATGGACAGCATAGCAATATAATATTTTTCAATGCCACTTTTTTCCTACAATACCTACTTGAATGAATTATCCTTGTATTTCTGTTTTAGTAAGTACAATTTGACATGGTGTAAATCTCTGTTAGATGCTGATTTTATGTAGTGGTTACATCTTTATGAGTAAGTGCTGGGGATGATGGCAGAAAATGAGATTACAGGCTGTAGATGCAAAGAAAGGAGTTAGGACACATGAGAGACAGAGGAAAAATAGCAATGTCTGGGGTGGTCATGAAATGAGACAGAAAACATCTGTCCTGGCTGGCTCCTTTCCTCTCCCCTTACACTCCCACCCCCTGCACCTGGGGATGCGTGGAAGTGAAGCATCAGCGCAGGCCCCGGGTTCACAAGCGGCAGCATCCCTGTCTCCTGAGCCGGGGTGCCGAGGTTTGGCAGAGCAGCTACGAAGCAAAGGTGGCCACTGGCTACAGTCCGTGACACACGCCGGGGAGAGCAGGGTGCGAAGGGGATGCTTTGAAAGAAGAGTTACTTCAGTTACGTTTTTCTGTTCGGTCTGTTTGCAGAGAAGCTTGCTAATCAAAAGTGCTAATCCTTCGCCAAACGCGCTTCCAAATGTTTCTCTCTAAGGCTGGCGATGCAGTTTTTGTGCGTTTCTGTCTTATATAACCGTGTTGAGTGTTTTGCTCAGTTACTGGAGAGCCATTTCAGTGAGGAGGGGGCGGGAGGAGATAATGTTTAAATCTTTAAACCAATTAAATATATTTCCATATGTGAGCTTTCACCACCTGGGGATAAAACACTCTGTTCTCTCTGGTAAATGAATATTGAGAGGGGATAAAAAAAAAAGTACACTTGTCTTTAATGGGATTTTGGATGACTGGAAATGAGGACAAATTAGGTAGAACGTGTTTCTTTACTGACGTTGACATTTCAAATAGGTTAAGATATTTAGCCTTCAGGAAAGTAGTGTGTAATAATATGAATGTAAAATACAGAAAAGATGAGGCGATCTATTGAAGCCACCTTTTAAAAATCCTTCGGAAACACGTGCACTTTCTAGCTGATAATAAAATGCTGCTGTTTTTTCCAAGTCTAACATTTCCCACCTTGGGGGACTGTGAGTGAAATACGTGTTGCTGCAAGTGAAGCGGGAGCAATCTGTTACCAGTACAGGTTTTCAGCGCAGTTCTGCCACTGCCTGCTGGGCTTTCTGACCTCCAGCCATCGCGGGACACGGAGGGTGCTGAGACCGTCTCCAGCTGGGTGTAGCTGGTGTCCAACAGAGTTGCACTATGCAAAACGCTTGCTTGTTTGTAAATGTAGAACTGTCCAATAACTTAAAGCCTGGTGCCTTGCTTTTATTTCCATTCTGATGCAGCCACCAGACCCAGCATAGGAACTTCTGTGGTGAGCATCAACTGTTGCCTTGCTGTTGAAAACAAAAAAGTGAAAGAGGCAGAGGTGCCTTGCAGACAACGTAGTATTAAGAAGTGATCCATCCTATGGAAGCACTTTGAAATCCTTTCCAGATGGAGTTAAGGGCCAGAGCTTCATTCTTACGGACACGAGCTCTGTGCAGGCTGCTTTTTCCAAACGTTGCTAAGTGCGGTTCATAAAACGTACCCTAGGATGCTCTTCAGACGCTTTACAGCCAGTTTTATGTATGCTTTATGAAGCTGTAACTAATATTATGTCATTAGAGTTAAAGAACACAGAGAGTGTGTTTGTCCAATTTGAGAGGAGTTGCTTTTCATATGTGAAATCAACAAAGAGGAACTGTTCTAAAACCATAAATTAGAATCTAATTGTTGGCTCATACTGAGCCCTTTCTCCCCCAAATCAATGGAATGATTGCTGTCAGCCATAAATAATTGAAAACCATAAATGTAATGTTACACTTTAAAGACACTTGAGCTATTGTAGAATCAATTTGTCAGGCAATTTTATTTCTATGTATATTTTAATGAATCATGATCAAAATAGCAATAGCAGAACTACTTGCAAACTCATTTCCAGTGCAAAGGAAGTAAGTCTTGCCGAGAGAATGGAAAAAGTCATTGGCATGAGGACAGCCTTTTCAGTTCAGTTTCTGCAGCAGCCATGTTTTTGAAAGCTATAATGTTTATTCGAAAACTTGAATCAATTTCTCCTACCATGGTACTTTCCAATATTCACTTTCCTGCCTTTTGTGAAGGACTGTCTCTACTCTGAGTTCTTATGGAGTAAGGCAGCAGATCCCATTTTAACTTTCACATATGCTCTTGCTGGAGTTCAGATGTTAAATCCACATGATCGTGTGTCTGAGGTTTCAGGGATCCAAAGAGTGAAATTAGTATCAGGTTGAGTTTTTTCACCTTTGGTCACTGGGAGATGTTGTCGCTGTCTGAATTCACGCTAAAGAAAGTGTGGCTTGTTTATGAAGCCCTGCAGGAAAACTGTACCTCTTGAGTTTTGACTCTCTCTGGAGAAAGGGAAGTGACTCTTGGCTGGCCAGGATTTAAGGAAGGGAGAGGTTTGATTTCTGCTGTCACTGTCACAGTCTTGTGGTTGTTGAGGTTGTTCAGTCTGCAGAAAAGAAGGCTCCGAGGAGACATTATTGTGGCCTTCCAGTATATCTTAACAGGGCCTACAAGAAAGCTGGGGAGGGGATTTTTAGGATGTTGGGTAGTGATAGGACTAGAGGGAATGGATTGAAGCTAGAGATGGATCGGTTCAGATTGGACGTTAGGAAGAAGTTCTTCCCTGTGAGGGTGGTGAGACACTGGCACAGGTTGCCCAGAGAGGTGGTGGAAGCCCTGTCCCTGGAAGGCTGGATGGGGCTCTGAGTAACCTGATCTAGTGGGGGATGTCCCTGCCCATGGCGAGGGGGTTGGAACTAGATGATCTTTAAGGTCTCTTCCAACCCTGACGATTCTGTATTGCAGAGCTGCTCCAGAGGCACCCAGGCTCCAGGTGATTCATCTGGCTTGGGAGCAAAGCAAGCAGGAGCGCTGCTCCCCCGTCATGTGCATTTGTTTGTGATTTCATTTCTGTTCTCCTTCAGCACAGTAGGTGACAAGAAAAATTAGGCTCTCTTGGCGTACACCGGAGAATAAGCAATTTCAGCGTAGTGCTTCCCTTCAACATAGCAGTCAATCAGGTCTCATTTAAAGGAGAGCGTGGGGTCAGCGCGGCACCCTGGCACAAAGCACTTGGCAGCTTCTTCACATACCTCACAGCAGATGCAGGGGATTCAGCAGCATAAGCTTGACCTGCCTGGTCTAGCGTATAATGTTGCCCTTTAGCGATTGGGTTTGCTTTCTCTAATTCAGCACGATTTCTTTAAACAGTTAGGAAAGAATTTAAGCAGTGCTGCTTGATATGGCATTTTAACTGTTTACAGTCTGGAGTTGCAAGCAAGACACCACATGCTTGTTTCCTAGCAAGGGAAAAGTAGCCTGATGTATTGATCTAACATGTTGGTTGTGGGGTTTTTTTGCTGAAGATTTTCATGTCTAAGAGACTTTAAATCCTTTCAGTGACAGCTACCATCTGTTTTAAGGCAAGGGAGGTTGTCCTGGCTTGAGCCTGATCATTAGACCTATCAGCTGCAAATTTTGGGATAATACTAGTAGCGTCTGCTAGATTAATTGGGCTTTTTTTTCACCCTCCGTAGCTTTGCCCCACTTTCTTCTTTGAAGGGTTATTATGTTTCTTTTAAAGTAGTACTTCTTTGTTCTTGTTCATTTGCTTCAAGACTATGCAGTAAGCTTTACTTGGAAAGTGGTAGTGTGTGACCGTATTCCAGATTAAGAAAACGTTGATAGGTTGCTATGTGAATAGTACACATTATGATAACTCTACTCTAGTTTTTTGTTAGATCTTCATTAAGAATGATAATCTAACACATGAACAAGAGCTGATAAAATTAACTTAATGGGTTTGCATTTAAATAACTGAGAGCTTGTAATTAGACATTATAATTGAAAGCTCAGCTATTCCACCATAATATAATACTTCAAGATATGTTGCGACTGGAAGAACTCTTTTTTATGGTCTAGTAACCTCGTTGACTGAAAAGCAATATATGACTAATATTTTGGGTAAAGAGCAAAAGTACTGAAATACTAAATGCAGTAATAGTGTTGGTTTATGTAAGGTTGGAACATGGAGTGTGGTTTCATTTGAAATATAGCCAGCCATAAGAAATCACTCAAGAATCTGTTTCTGTAGAGAAAATGTCATTTTACGATACTGAAGCAATAATTAATTGAATGTTTTGTTCTGTTGTGTAAAAAAACTGGAATG